CGAGAGAGAGAGAGAGAGAGAGAGAGAGAGAGAGAGAGAGAGAGAGAATGGGAAACATGTTATGGTGAGGTCACGTAAAGCCTGCAAAACCCCTAGGAGAAAACGCTTATGATGACGGGGTTTTTCCCTGTGTGAGCCAAAGCAATTTGCAAGTCCTGGGTGGGGATGGGGATCCGTGTCCCGACAGCTCATTCGGTGACTGCTGTAGTCAAGATGAATAAGGGACATGTTGTATGAACGGAATTTTTTTCTTCTGAAAAGTATAAAAGGGTTTGCTTGTATTTTTTGTTTTTTTGTTTTGTTTAGTTGTTTAGTTGTTTTGTTTGTTTTTTGGGGGGGGGATAAATAATGAGTGATCGTTTCTCTCTTCTGATAGTTTGACAAAAGAGCTTTACTGTGAGGTTTGTTGTTTTTTTTGTTTTTTTTAAAATAGAGCCCTTTTTGGGGAGAGGGGAAGGGGGAGAGATTTATGTGTGACTTGTGAATAAAGGGGTCATTGCACTTTGTATGTTTTGTGAGTGAGTATGAGTATGTCTGTGATTGTATGAGCTCATGCACGACGATTGTGTGCCAAATGTTGAAATATTGTTTTGTTTTGTTTTTTAATTTTCTTTCGGTTTTTTTAATGGCCAGGTTGGTTTGTCGTGCCAGTTGTGTGTGTGGGGTGTGGCTGCGATATTTCACAGTGTCTGTTGTTGAGCTTTGCCTGAGCTGGGGAAAGATCAAACTTAATGGGGTGGAGAATTGGCTGATGATGGAGTTGTGTGGAACAGGGAGAGGGTGGGGTGGGGGGCTCTGACTTTTGATGCTTCTGGCCCTGGGATTCCCGTTGTTATTGCTGCTGTTGTTGTTGTTTCTGCTGCTGTTGCCTTCGCGCTAAGCCCTGGAGACCTGCGGACTCACCCACACATTGTTGCGTTCCCAGTGTTGTTGTTGTCGTTATTGTTGTTATTATTGTTGCTGCTGTTGCCTTCACGTTAAACCACAAAGTCTTGTGAACTCTCCTACGACATACAACGTTCCCAGCCACATAGCGCTGCGTTGTTTACCCGTGAAATGTATACTGGTTTAGGGACGGGTTCCAAAGTGTGTCTTGAAAATCAATTTATCAGTGGTTTGATTGTCTTCTCAAACTTTCTTCCTCCTTCTCCTTTTCTTTCTTTCCCTCCCCTTTCTCTTACTGTTATTTTTCATCCTCCTCTCCCCTTTTTTTTCTCATTGTTTAATATTGTCCCCTCTTTTCCTCCTCCTCTTGCCTTTTGTTCTCCCTCC